GGGGGGGGGGGATCACCACAGGGGCTGACAGACAGAAGCAGACTCAAAAGACTCAGAGGCTGGATGTGCGCCCATGTGCAGGGTGGTCTGAGCTCGATGAGTTCGCCGTCTCCACTCACAAGCTTGCATTTGTCATGTTATTCAGCGCAGCCTCATGTGTGGCAGATGGGTGAGGGAAAACCCTCAATCATTGTCATCATCTGTTTCTATCCAGCTTTGTCAGCATGATTCCCGTTCTTCATTCTCTGCATGTCTCTCGATATTTTTTTCTATATATTTTCTTCTCCTTCTGCCCTCATGCGTCTCTGCCTATACCGCTTTCCTCTCCCTGCGCCTCTGTCTCTTTCATTTCCTACTTTGCTGTTAACCTTCACCTTTTTTAAGAGACTAGTGCCCCATTCACGATATACCACAATTATGCCTGTGGGTGTGCCTCACCTTCATGCACAAGTACACACACAGAGCAACTCATGTTTAGCTGCAGGTATAACATAACATCCAAATACGTCCCAAGCAAGACAAATGTAGTCATTAGGAGTTTTTTTTCTCTTTGAAAAAAGGGTGTGTCATAACAGAAGTGAGCCATTGGATTTGTTTGGGAAGAGTTAACACACATTAAATACCAACTTTACCGTTTTCCTCCAAGTGTTTTCGGAGGATGTAGCTGGTCTCCGTCCCCTCAATGGCGTAGTCCAGAGAAATGTTTCCATTGATGTCCTGAAGCAAAACGTTCACTCCAGCCTTCCAAAAGCAGGACAGAAAAAAGACAAGAAAAATAATTTACGAGCAAACTCTGTTTAAGCATGTACCCTGAGCCATTCATCAGACTTGAAGAGATGATAAATTGGGAGTAATTATCTTGGCTTCCCAGAGGGATATACCTGAGCAGCGCCATGGAGATGCTAACAGACAATACACTGAATTAAAGCCATTATTAAATCACTGCCTGGGGGGGCAGTAAAAAGTGGGTGCATTGGTTAACACTGCCTGGGATCACACAGGTCAGTGTGTGTGTGTGACAAGATTAATATGTGTTCATTCAACAGGGATGCTGTCAGAGCATAAGATAACACAAGAGGCCCTCCTCTGGAACCTTTAATGATTGCCTGATGACAGTCGTCAACAATCAGTGTTCACTCTATGGTTTATTGTTTCTCTTGAAAGGAAATTCCCCACCAGAAATGCACCTCTTAACCTGTAAACCACAAAGGTGTGCAAGCTGAGCAATATGTACTCTAGTTACAGTGACGCTGACAGGGCCTTCCCGCTGTCTTCTTTTCTTTTTTTTTTTTAGTAATTGCCAGTTGTCAGCATCCAACCATAAAATGCTTCCTGCTGTTTGACTAAAACATAAAAAAGCAAGTCAATGTAGCTCTCAGAGAAGGACGAGATCTGACAATAGGGATGAGAGACTCTAACTGACGGTCCTTGTTTAATATTTATAGTTAATAGATTTCTAACGACCTGTTTGGAGTGTGGCAAAGAGATTTATGGTCTAGTCCTCAGGCAGGCAGCGATGGAGGGGCTGGGGAAAGAAAAGAAAACTGAAAATGCAAAGAGGGAGCAAGCTGACTGAACTGCACGAAAGCTGTTAACCTTAGTGCTCTGAAAACCAATCAGCAAAATCATGAGAAAAAACAAACTTCGAAATAAACTTTATCTGTCCAGTTGTCTTACAAATAACTATGGAAGCCCGTTTCCGCCACTAAAAAAAAAAAAAAGGATCCATAACTCAAAATTTCGAGTTATTTTCTCGAAATTTCGAGTTATTTTCTCGAAATTTCGAGTTATTTTCTCGAAATTTCGACATATTAACTCAAAATTTTGAGAAAAGCAACTCGAAATTTCGAGTTAGCGCTGCCAATCAGTAATCTACGTGAATGACGTCATTTCCATGTTACCCGGAAGCTGAAGCCCTCAGCTACAAATGCTACAGCTAAGCTACCGGTATTACATCCAGTCGTGAATGCACAGATTGCTGAGTGTTTTCAGCCTGGCTTCACAAATGATGAAATCCCTGTGTTATTAGCTGAATCACATGGTGTTACTATCAGCAAACATACTTTAATTTGTTGGGATCCGTTTTTGAGTGCGCGGTCCTGCGCCATATGCTTCCGGGTAACAAGAAAGCGACCTCATTCACGTATATTTTTGATTGGCAGAGCTAACTCGAAATTTTGAGAAAAGTAACTCGAAATTTCGAGAAAATAACTCGAAATTTCGAGAAAATAACTAGAAATTTCGAGTTATGGATACTAGCTTTTTTTTTTTTTTTAGTGGCGGAAACGGGCTTCCATAAATAACAGACGTATTTTATTAAAAGAAATAAATAAAATGAAAAGGGAACATTTCTGATTCAGGGACACTGAATTCAGTTTTGACTGATCTGAAATGTGTTCCAGTGAGATCCACAGCTTCATTGTGCATCCATCTGTGCTGTCCAGTGGGAGCTCTTTTTGCTCACTTATGAGGGTGAGCTGGGGGTTAACAAAGAGAATTAATTAACATTAACTATCAGCTGGTGCTTCATGACTATTCATGAAAAAAAAAGCCTTTTCACAATGTGAAACACAGCTTGAGAAGAGCAAGATATGAGATGATGACGAGTAAGTCAGAGTGGGAGTGCGCATTAAGGGGGCACAATTATCCCCCCTCTGCCAAACCCACACCGCAACTACACAAACACACACTCCACCCTCACTCCCTCAAACACTTATGGTGCTTTGCACCCAGTGGTAATCTGCAAAACGTCCTAATAAACCTGAAAGGAGTTCTCATGGTGCCTCTCTTAGCATGCATGTGAGTATTACACAGTGGGAAGAGAAGTGTGCTAATCCACACGTTTACCATCAAGATTCAGTAGCGGTAAATAGATGTGCAGCAGAATGAAGTTATTACCTGACAGACAGATACATTATGTCCTCTCTAAACATCCACACCTATACACCTCTACAAAAAGCATCCAGAAAAAACATTTAAACATATAGAATAAGAGAATAGAACAGCCCTTTACTGTCACTGTACACGTACAACAAAATTGTGGAAATATGTTGCTGCCCATTCTGAGAAGGTTAAAACTGCACAAGCAGGACATAATCCTGCACCTGATACTGTTATAAGACAGGGCTTTTCATCCGAGAGTGAAACAATCACAAGAAGGAAATCAGCAGAGAAACTCATTGTATGAATGTAAAAATGCTGGTTTAGCTGTACAAGTTCTAACAATAACTGCCAACTGTCATTTAGGAACAAAAAAAGGTATTATGGCACACAGACCTCAGCCAACAGACACAGATTATGAAGCAGGAGCACTAGGCACCACCAATCCAGTGACATAAATCACACATGATAATTGCTGACAGATATAAATGGGTTTGTGTTGTCTGGCAGTCAAGCGTAGTGCAAAGGGGTTATAAAGTTGAGTTGTGAGCCCCACACAAGCCAGCACCATTATGATGGATCCACCAAAGACATCCCAGAGATGGAAATCTGTTAATGCCAAACTCCCTGTGGTTCATAATGGCAGTTGTTAAACACAGTGACTGCTAAAAATCAATAACAACTAGTAAATGTGTGTTGAAAGCTGTCCCTGGGGTAGTTACTGCTGAGCTGGACACCTTCGGTGTGAAAAGCTAACCAGCACTGACAGCTCGCATACAATGAGGCATCAGTCCAACGTATGTCTGACAGACCAGTAAGCTTCTGTCTTAATCAATACAGCTGTCTACAGCTGTTCTTCTGACAATTTATGTAGCCTAGACAAAGAAAATGCTACTTTTACTGAAATCGATTGTAGTCGGATCATAGCCATAGCCCCAACCACAGCTCAGAACAGCAGTGCAATCTGCTCTGTACACATAGAATCATTTAGACCTTCAACCTACTCTTCTGTTCCCATGTTTTACTTTTGTGACAATTTTGCTTGCTTTTACAAAAAGAGCAGATGTTGCAGGAAAATAAGGAGTCATGATTTCATGAAGATTTTAAGTAATGTGCAGCACAGAAAATCTTTTCATTCTACTGAAAAACAAAAATGAATATAAAAAACAAAATTGTCAAAAGTATAGGTTGAATGAAAAAGCGAGGGGGATGAAAATCTACCCGATGAATGCAAATATGAATGTCCCAAAATAAAGAGTACGTAATACATTTCCTGCTAATATTACGAGCAGTTTTCTGGGACCTAGCTTATAATGCACTAAACGACTAAGCAACAGTTGCCTGATGAACCACTGTGATGTTTGGGGGTTGCACTGCATTATTAGCAGAGAGGCAGAGAGAGTGATTTCAACTGATGTCAAGTGAAGTTCAGTGCAGCCAGAGGCTTGCTGTTAAACGTCTGACTTCAAAGGACTCGGAGTTCACAAGTTCTAAATTCATTATTTACAAGCATGGAAAGTGGGTTAATTCAACGACTGTACCCGTGCTGGATTTTGAGCAGTAAGACAGGAAATTACATTTTGCAAGAGAAACTGCTTCCAGTCGATCACGTGATTCCATTCCTCTCCTAGCACAAGACTGAAAGCTACACAGCAAAATCTCCAGTGTTAAATTAACACTGGAGATTTTGCTGTGTAGCATTTCACAGAAAATGAGAAAATAAAAGGAAAAAAAACACAGAAGTGGTTTTGTTTCAAAAGGTAGAAACTTTGACAGGAACCAAAACAGAGCCTCCAGACTAAAGACAAGAGGAACAATCTGACTTTCACAGAAATTCCAACATTTCCAGTGACACTGGGGGTGTGTTAGTGTATGTTGCATGTCTGTGAAGGCGCCAATCGTGCTTTCACAGATGCTGCCATCTCGACGACACCTGTGTCAGGACAGGCCTGTCTAAATGTACACCAGTCACATGGCTTCATAGTTAAAGAGCTTGGGTTCTAAAAGGACCTGCCTGCAGTCAACTCCTGTTACTTGCTGAAAACATTTGGTTGGGATGGAACAAAAAATGCAAAAAAGAAGCCTCTAAACTGCTGAGCAACTGAAATATGAATTTTAGCCTCTGTCCTATTTACAATTAAACAAAGGGTTTTAAAGATCTGCAAATATTTGAATCTTTATTCCCATTTTATAAATTTTGGGAAATATAGCTGTAGCATTTTCCACTCTGAACTGCGAGTTAATCCTACTAGGGTGTCAATAACAAACATTTACCAGAACTGGAGTGTCAATGGTTTCTGGAAGGGGTTTGGAAATGGGCTGGGAATGACAGAGCTTAGAAATGGCTCGCTTTCCTGCTGTTTGGAGGGAGGAGATAAGAGAATTAACATTACTGCCAATCCGGATGCAGAAAAGGAATTCACTCATATTTCTAATCATTCCCCCCATCCCTCTACTTTTCCACATGACAAGCTTGGTAACATCTCTGTCAGCAAAAAAAAGCACTCTGTTGCTCTGAGAAGGAACTGGAAATCAAGGACAGGGAAACAGAGGACAAAAGGAGGGAAATAGCAAAAGAGATGATGGAGTGGAGACAATAGATTAGTATATACTAGCAACATTATTCCTTCTTGTGCCAATCAAAGATAAGGGTGCCAGTCAAGCTCCTCGAGTGAGGCCATTGTTAAATAAAGCCGTTACATTCACAGGGAAGAGCTTGCAATTAGAGCTCTGACGAGGGAACAGCCTGACAACAGAGCAGAAAGACTGGAAATTGGCAAGAGTCTGCGGTGAAGGAGTTGGGTGTCAAAATGAATAAACAGAAGAAAAGGGATATTGGATCTCTATCGGAAATACTGTTGGACCGAAGCTATTTTTGCCATGGTAGACTGAAAGAGCTTGGGTTCTCCTTTCAGAAATGATACTCCCTTGCTGTTCATAGCAGAAAAAAGAAACTCGAGCGTTTGTCTTACTATGAAGTGAAAAATTCACCCCAAGGAAATTTGCACCATTTTGAAAACTCAAATGTTGGAAAGTGTTTTCTTCCTTTCACCCAAATGTTGTCACAAGCATGCGCAGGGACACACTCACAGAAAGCACAAGCAAAGCCAAATACAGTACTGTGCAAAAGTCTTGAGCTAGCCCTCATTTCTTCTTTGGGTTCCAGTGGTCCTGAGCATTTCTCCAGGTTTTCTGAAGGTCTTTCAAGGTTTTTCTTTGGACATTGGCTGCTTTTTCACTCAATTTCAGCCCAATCCTTGTACCATTTTCAGAGGAATGGTTTTTTTCATGGTTTATTACACCACTTAACACTACTAAGCATAAAAAGCAACCTAACTCACGTGTCTACACATAACAGACAGCTTACCAAAGAACTCATTTTAAATATTATTATTATTATATACTTTATTACTAGAAACCTGTTGCAAAAACAACATCGTTTATTCCTGTTTCTTTAACTGAATCTACAAAACATTCAAATATAACAAAATTTGAAGAGCATAAAATAGTATTTTTTAACCCGTGATAAATTAAAAAAAATCAGAGGACAAGTTGAGGACAAAATAGGTTGCAGGTCTAAAAACCAGTCTGCAGCAGATGAACAGTGTCTGAATGCACTTAAGAATTCCAGAAAAGACCTGACAAAGAAATTTACAAGAACAAAATACACATAACACCAAATAATAATGCTCAAGCTAAAATCACACAAAGTCAATGTTTGTTTAATTTACTGTGATCCCTTGTGTCTTAATATTTCAATAAATTTCTGCACCCATTTTCCGAGCAAAATATAAAGAAATGAGGGACGGCTCAAGTCTTTACTGTACTTTGTGTTGGTAAGCTGTAAAAATGTCTGAACTTCTCATAGTTTTTAATTTCTAACAAATGTTCTTCCTTTTTCTTCCCTCTTCCCCTGTTCTCTTCCAACAGAGCAGAGTTATGCGTCAATATGGCCCAATTTATGAGGAACTAGTTCTTTCCTGATAGCGAACGGGAAAAGTACAGAATCAATCTCTGTCTCTCTCTCTTTCTCTCCCATGGCATTGCCCATCATGAAAGCCCCTGAAAACACAAGTCACTGCATTAAAGTGCATTTGAGATACATACAGGACACCCTCCCTAAGCAAACTAGGCACCCCACATGCTTGTAGGGATATTAAATGCACGCAAATACACAAACACTATTAATTATCTGTATTCTTTTTTCCTGGGAAATACTTCAAACGTATACATTCCTCCCAGGAAAATCTCTTCCCTTTCCCACAGACAGGAAACACCAATCACTCAGGACCCAATCAGCAGAACCAGAATCCACTGGATTCTACACAGTTCTACACCACATGCAACCCTCTCTGCGTCTAATCAACACCAGCGCAGCAAACTCAGCCCACTCAGTGACTGGGCTTCATGTGCATGCCCTCCCTTACAGCTGGCACTGCTCTCATTATGGACCTAATCAGTACAACCAGGGCTCTTGTCAAGACATTCTCCACAGAATAGTCTCTCTTTGATATGATGCAAATGCCGAATTCCAAATATCCTAATTTTCGGAGATTCAACTGGATTTGTGAAAGAATAAAAAGCTCTGTTTCAGATCCTCAGCCACACAAAACCCCTCATCAATGGAAGATGCTCCACTTGGACAGAAAATTCTTGATGACTAATGTGAGCCAGTAGTTCAAAGCTACTTCTAAATGAAGCGTGA